CAAAACATTATCAGAAAATGCCACAGCTAAATTAGTTTCATATTTTGCCATCGATTAACATGTTTGAAATTGTATGACCAAAGTGTGTGTGTGTATATGTGTTGATTGCAGGCAGGATATTCGTTTTAGTCTACGTGATGAACGATGGCAAAAGTGTAAATATTTGAGATTTCAAGTGGCGAATTTTTCACTTTTGCGGTTTAATGGATGTTTACCGTTCCAGTTTTATGCCATAATTTGAGCCATGGTAAAATGAAAGTATGTGTTTGTGTGCGGAAATGAATTACAGTGCCTTTCGTCCAAAGATGATGATGTCAGCCAAAGCGATACATAATCAACAACGTTAAAATATGTCGTTGGCAAAAGTGGTTCAATAATCCTGCGAAATGCGAAGCGTTGGGTCGATGAAAGCCCAAACTGACGTAGATTTGCATATTCGAGTGGCTTTCGTGTGTTTCTGCATCAAACCAATGAAAATTCATCACGCCACTCTTTGATAGCTTATCCTAAAAATGTCGTATAATTTTTCTTTGGAAATAAGTCATATGTTCACCCTGAAAAATGCTGATGTCAAAAACCGGTTCGGCTAGTCGCATCTTCTACGTAAACATGACGCATTTCTTTTTCTTTGGCTCGTCTTCTTATCAATGTTAGACTGTTTGGCAAATATCCATGCGATGAACATGGATGTCGGAAATTAGTCTTTAAATGAAGCAGAAGTAATTTACCATGACTACAGTGTGTGTGTGTATGTGCAAAGTGAGGCAAACAAGGAGTAGAAAGACACATAGAGAAAGAGTTGAGAATGGATTTTGCGATGGAAATAAACATGGACACATCAACAAGTGGACATTGGTTAGCGATACGAAAAAATAATAATGAACGAACCACTGAGCCGTAGAAACTATGACGCACATACATATATTTGATGGCTAAGTCACCGTGTTCAACCCGTACATTTAATTGGGTGGCCTGACGAGAAACAGCAACGTGCCCCATTCAAAATATTTGCGTGCGTTTGTCTCTCTCTCCCACCCTCTGAAATGAATGACATACAATGTTACCATGATTGCATCCGTTCGTTTATTTTCAACAACAACAGCGATTCAGGCGCACACAAAAAATGGTTCACTCTTTTTCGAACAAACACAAACACGCACGCATAAAGCAAGAACAACAACGGTTGAAATTGCCAACGCAACGAAAAATTGCCATTTAACTAAAAGGGAAAACTGAAGCATTGCCAGTTGCGTTTTGAGTCATGTCGATACTTGTGTCTAATGGAATAAACAATGTCCGCGTTGCTATTGTCTATTGCCAAACAACATCCATCAAGGGTCATGTGGGAATTATAACCTTATTACTATATCTACTACACAAAACTAACTAGATTTTCTGACAAATTCAATATCAAAAAAATAACTCAACGAATTGCAACTGGATGTTGTCGTCGGCACATTGCTGCCTTTTTAGATATATAAATTTTTTTGAGAGCGAAAGCATCAATTAAACTAAATTGAACTAGTTTTTTTGTTTCTGTGCTGGCTTCTAGAAGCCTGGGAACATTCGAAAATAGTTTCACATTGTCATACTCACACATCCGTCTCTAAAGTAGTTTAATCTATGTGTTGCCATGTATCGCCATTGGCTCAAAGTCATTTGAATCATGGTAGCGAAAAACAAAAACAACAATAGCAAAAAAAAATGTATAAATGGCTTGTATTTTTTGGCGAATTGTCCTCGGTCATTCTTATCGCAGAATAGCATTCAGCTGCTGTGCATTTGCGAACTTTAACAAAAATAAAAGTAATTTTCATGTAACGAGAATGGTTATTCGCTCTTTCGCTCTCTTCCCATATGATGATATTTTTTTTTCATATAATGTGATGGAATATTTTTGCAATGTGGGTGTGCTGTGTGAGCGTAGGATAGAGAGCGCACAACGCACTGCTCATGATAAAATGACAAGCTGACATAATATAACAAATAAAATACGAACCTTGGATTCACAACAGCTTACTCTTCGGAAAATCCTCTTTTGGATAGTTTTAGTTGGATTCAGCCATTTGTATGGAATTGTTACAATTCAAGCATGGTCTCTCTCTTTCACACACACACACACTCTTCTTCCACTGAAAATAAATCTTACGGGCTTGTACTTGGAAGAGTGTAAAACATCTACCTGATTCCATGCCAAGTGATTCGCTTCGATGGATTATCCATAATGTATAGACGGTTTTTACACTGTGTACTACATCAATATTCCAATCCGATCACTTGTTAGATGCCACATAACTTACCGAACCTTCGGAGCGAGATATGTTCAAATGATTTTCATTTGTGGAAAAAGCCATTGACAAGCGACGGTGGTACAGCAACACGACAGAGAAAAAAAAGGCGAATAATTTAATACAATCCAATGGAAAATATGATTCAAGCATATGCAATATTAGATTCTCTGTATTTGGAATGTGCAATCAAACGATGGCACCCGAGTGAAAAGTAGTCGATAGCACATTCCGCACTTGGTGTGTGTGTGTGTATGTGTGTGTGTGTGTGTGTGTGTATGAATCGGTTGCGATGGAGAAAGAAATGGAAAATCATGGGGGACCTAAAATAACCAACAAAAACATTCAACAATATAGAAAGTTCAGAAAATACCATGGATTGAACTGTTTTATTTTTCTTCGTAACTTTTTGTTGTTTTACTTCCGATACCGTAAACGAATACAATTTAAAATCAGCAAATTTATGATTAGACAATTGAAATGTTGAGGATGTGTGCCGAACACGTGATGCGTACAAAATGCGCATTGTTTGCAAATGTAGGTGAAGTAAAATAGAAAGAAAATTGAAGGAGAGAAGAAAAAACAACAAGCCGCCAAATGTAATCACAGCAGAGGGAATATTTGAATTCCAAGAAAATTCAATATTGCAAATTATATGTATCGACTTGCTTGGCACAAAACGCTCCCTCATGCCGTGTGTGCGATGACGCCAGGAACAAACAAAAACAATCTTTTCCGGTGTTTCGAATGTGTGATTCAGATTTGATTGAGCCAAGATTGATTAACGCATAACAAATGAAGTCAAGCGAATTTGAGCCATATGCCAATGGCAGTCAAAAAAATTTGATTTGATTAATAGATTTCCCATTGAGACGGGCCGATTGTCAATTGTTGTTGAAAGCGCGAGAGTGTGAGCTGAATGTGCTGCACAATATGAACCGTGGGCTCCGGTTTTTATATCGTTTCTCATGCACATAACAAAAAGTGATTCACAGAATTCGTTGTGTTGCGTTGTTTTTGTGTATGTTTTTTTTCTCGCAATTGAGCACGCCTTTCGCGTTTTATTTTTGTATCGAATGTGTAACGTGTGTGTTTCTTGGGTTCAATACTTTACATCGAATTCAATTCAGTTTTTTTTTCTTCTTCTTTTTTTGCAAAAAGTCATACTCGTTTTCAATAACTCAGAATACGGTAAAATGATTTGAATTATTATTTATCGTATTATTTGATTTCAATTCCGAACAAACACAAATTATTTATTCAAAAGTAGTGGAAATGAAAAAAAACACTCCTTTTACTAGGGCGCTGGGTAGATAAATGTGTAGGAAATTGAAAATCGAGTACAAATTAATATTCAATTCGATTCGTATTGTGTTCCAAAGACAATATACATGTGTATCTTTTTCTATTTTTGATATTAATTTTGGAATTGTTATCTTTATTGGAGTGCGGCCCATGTGTCTCGTCTTGATCTTTCGGCAATTTGCCTCTAATAAAAGAACGATAACGATGAGCATGTGCCTGTGTGCTTGTGCAGAAACAACAGACAACACCAAAGCACACCCAATTTAGTCGAGTTCCATCGGCTGAACCATAAAGATAATGATAAATAAAATTAATTACGGCGTTATTTTGTGTGTGTTGTGTGAAGATTTTTTTTCTCGTTTTTATTGTTGCGTTTTTTTAATTGGCGTGTGTATTTTTTTTTCTCTTTTCGTTGTTAAATATAGCTTCGATTGTTGTAACTACTTCCGAAAATTATGAGTAAAATTGTAGCCGGTTCTATCTAGACAAACAAATGAATGCTTATAAATGTCCGATTAATACCCATATATATTTTCACATCGAAACCGAAAGAAAAAAACGCGCACCGCGCATTAATTTTTCGTGTGTGTGTGTGTGTGTTTAGTTTTCCGAATGAGAAGCCATGGTTTTATGACAAAACATAACAAATGAAGAGACTCACCGAATAAGCACAATACCTGCATAATGCATTTTACGGTTAGGGATTGTAATGGTTTTTTTTTGTCATTGCCTCAAAATAAATATATTTTTGTGCGTTTGTTTATTATTATTTTTTTGTCTCCCGTTTTTTTTTGTCGTATTCACCGAATTCAGCTCATTTCGTATTCTGTTTCGTGTAAATGGTTATCTACCATTTTCATTACACCGTTCGAATTTGTAACATTTATTCTAATTAACGAAACGGTTTATGCAAACATTCGGAGAAGTAAATGGATGTGTGTGTTGGTTGGTTGATTGTCCGTTGTTGTGTTTTTTTTTGCTCTCGCTCTCCTCAACCGGCAGTTTGTTTCAGTCGTTGCCATTGCCATTGTTGTCTGCCAAGTGAAAATATTTGCTTTTATTACCGATTCGAGTATCATTTTGCTTTTTCCCGTGCTCACTCTACTTATTTTTATTTATTGTTATTATTGTCACGACTAAAATATTCGTTCTCTCAAATACACAATAGTTGCACTGAAAGTTTTTCCGTAGTCCCCCATCGCACTCGCTCTCTCTCTCTCTCTCTCTCTCTCTCTCTCTCTCTCTCTCTCTATGTCGCTCGACCGCTTGATGGTGGGTTTTCGTTTTCGAAAAATTTTCAGCGACTAAATTGACATCATCGTTATTCATTCCGATTTGTGTTTATTCATTGTTATTTTCATGTTTTGAATGTTCGGTTTTTTTTCTTTTCTTTTTCTCTTTCGACAGGTGGTGAGTGTGGATGTGGTTGCGTCGACAGCAGTAACACAATTGCAATATCGTCAGGAGGACCAGTAATTGGTCCATCAAACAGCAACAAAACGGCACATACAAAAGTAGCTACGTCTGGGGGCCATGCGAATACGCAAGCCCCTAGTAAACGTGCCAGCAGCGGCGCTGACGGCGACTATCAGCTCGTACAGCACGAAGTCTTGTATTCCTTATCGGCCGAATATGAGGTAAGTTTTCAATCTTCCGATTGTTATTTTCAATTTTGTACATCGTTTTCATTCGCGAGGCTCGCGTGCACTCACTCATGCTTCCAACTGAACGTCATAAACATATTGCCGGAACAATAAGAAGACAGCCAATGACGATCTCTAAACGAACTCATTGAATCATCGAATTTTCCGGCAACTTTTTTCAATCATGTGTGGCTTGAGTTGAATATAATCAACTTTACGGTGACACTAGCAGCTTCTCTGCACACACATCGTAGAAGAGAGTTTAAAAATCATAGTATTTTGGCAAATGCATCGAGTATCCATTGCAAAACATCAATACGTTTTAGTTAACGCGTAGTAACGGCCCACAGTGAAGCTGTTAGCGTCGCCGTAAAGTTGATTATATTCAACTCAAGCCACACACGATTGAAAAAAGTTGCCGAAAAATTCGATGATTCAATGAGTTGGGATTGAGATGGCATTGACTGCTATGCGTCAAATGACTAACATTTGAAATGTATTGTGGCACTATCGCTATGCTGGACGTTTTCAGAATTTACAACAATCCTGTAGAAAAACGTTTCTTGCGCTGCGCGCAATACAAACCAAATTTGATTGCGCCAATCACGCCATTTGATCAACATTATTACATTTTATATAAATTTTTTAATGTGCCAAGCATTTGGTGCGCCGTTCTAATAAATTATCTTTATTGTCATCTGTGCTATTGAGTTATAAAAAAAAATATTGTTTGGCAACATGCGAATCATTGTGCTTCGTAGCGCATAGACGCTCGTTCGAACAACAAAAACTGAACGAACGTTGCACGCGTCTGTTCTCGCTCAGTTTCAATTTTGACTATTGTCACAAAGAAAAATGTAAGAAAATGGCACAACCAACGGAAAAACGGAAAATAAAGCGCCAACGAAAAGAAGAGTAGAAAAAGAAATGAGTGGGAAGCATGCATTGTGTTCATCGGTTTATGCTTAGTTTTTCTATTCTTCCTCTTTGACGAAATCGGTTGCTATAGCTATGGCCAACTGACAATCCGAATGAAATGTTGGCCGAGAAAATGGAGAAAAAGCGATTTTTTTTCTCGAAATTTTCATTATTTAAATGTTCAACCAAAGATGGACGACGCAACCATACGATCGAACAATTTTCATGGCATTTTGATTACATAATATATAAATATATTCTTTCATTAACCTGAATCTATGCAAAAACAGAACGTGTGCTGATAATTTGTTGCATGGCATATGCACTTCATCATCAATCATCTGCATTCCGAGTGGAGTGCACGAGCGCCGTGCATCGACCAAGCGAATAAGGTCTTTGCGCGTGTATGAACTTTTCTCGATTTCATTCGTTTCCCCGCAAACAATTAAAATGCAATTGTTGATGGAACTCTGCTGTGCCGCAAAGCCATTTACTCTCTTTCTCCGCCCGAGCCATTTAGATCGACCCGAATCTAAGTCTCGATTAACGCTAATAGCGCTCATGAGCTTAGCCTGAAATGCAGGGGAAAAAACAACCTCAAGTAAATCGCTTTAGTCATTATATTGTTTTCAATGAGAATGCGATGCGAATGAGTGCAAATTTAATTAACTAGTTTCATTGGTATTTATGTGCCTGAAATTGGGTGCACTTCGTAATTAAAATTATCGGTCTTTCCACTGTGCGTCGGCGTTGTCGACCAACATGTCAAAACCAAAATGTTAACACCTGCAATAAATATTGTATCGGAGCCAAGTATATCGACAAATACCAATATCGGCACACAAAGGATCCAAATTCTTTTTCACCGCTCGAATATCCATCGCACGTTATTTTCAAACCATAAAATATTGAGTGAATTTGATGTTTTCCTTGAAAATATTTGCATTTTAAGTATTTGAATATCGACTCAGCACGCTAAGCGCTGCCACTCAGGACACATCGTATGTTCGGGCGTCGCTATGCAATGGTGCTATCAGAATCATTATTGTCATTGAAAAGAAGCGTTTGCGTTGATATGCATGGCATTTTTTTTTGTCTGCTGCTGATCTCTGTGTGACAAGAGTTGTTTGCAGTTAACGAAAGATTTGTGTGTTAAGCGCAATGCAAATAAAAAAAATCGACAAGCATTTTTCTTCTTTTCAAAAGAATGAAGGAATAGAAATGAAACGAGAAGAAACAAGAGAAAGAAAAGAAAAACGCAACCGACCAGATAAAACCCATCAAAAAGTCTTTCGCCAACACACGAACCATACCGATTTTCTTTCGAATGACACACATGCTGCGTGTGTGTGTGTGTGTCTTGATATGTATGCGGTGCTCTAATGTTACACAGCCAAAATCATATGCATATCGCTTGCGTTTTATCGATTTTGTTTATTTTTTTTCTTCTTCTTCTTCTTCTTCTTCTTTTCCTTTTTGTTCATCTACTTTTTATCGCATTTATTATTGTTGCTGTTTCTGTTGCAACGGTTTTCTTGTGTCGCCAGTTTGACATTTTTATTTCACTTTTTTTTTTGGGCAAATGTGTATGCGATTCGCTGAATTTTTTTCACGCGTCTTGGTCGGTTTTCTTTGGCAGTCGCCGTTTCGCTCTCCGATGCAAAATGAGCGTTTCTTTTTTGTTTTATTATCATTTGCTCGGTACATTTCTTTGCTTTCACTCAACATTAAGCGCGTATTTCAGTTACGATGCATTTATTTTGCTGACATTTTCGAGACAGAGTTGAAAGCATGCTTTTGTTTGTGTATTACTGCTCGCTTTTCCATTACGCAAAACGAAAAAGAAGAAGAAGAAGAAGAAGAATATTAAAATGAAGCATATTTATATGTGTATTCAAAATGTGTTGCGATAAAAATGTGCAAATGTGAGAGTTTTTCTGTTCCGCTTGCCACCGAGTAGCAACAAATGAAATCCGACGCAACAAAAAAAAATGTTTTATGAAAATCAATATGTAAACCAACATTTGTTTTGTTTTTCAAATTCTGACAGCAGATGCACTTAATGCAGGCAGATTCTGTTCATTTTTTTCCTCATTTCTGCTGCCGCTGCTGCTGCTGCTGCTGATGTACTTTTTCATTTAATAAATTGTATTTACGCGCAGCAAAACAAATTGGAGCATATAAAAGAGAATGTAGCCGCGTTACACCGCAAAATTAACTTGAAAACAAAATTATTTTCGCTAAAATGACTGGAACAAATGCATTTCCATGCAATTAATTTTCATTCAAATCAAACGAATTGATGTTGCTGAAAAGTACTAAATTATCAAGAGAAAAAATATATAACAAAACAGAAATGCCATTTGCCAAACTAGATTCGTAATAAATTTACAGCGAATGAAATGAGAAAAAAAAAAACTTTCTCTACAATACAAACTAATTGTGGAAAAAAAAAGAGAGTATAATCAATAAAGTGTTCGATGAATGACACAAAAATCGATCGGTGTCTGCGTTTTTTTTTTCTTGAAATATCAATAAACGTCACGTCTATCGTCAAAGTGTTTGCCATTAATAGTCGCGGTCGTCATTGAGTGTTGTGGTTTTTTTTTTCATGCCAGAATGCAGTTTATAACTGCACAAAATGAATACGAAACAAAAATGTACGCCGTTTGCGCGATTTTTCTTTTCTTCATTCTGAAGTCTATCTCGTTGTAGTTTGTATGCGAGTTTCGTTTGTCTTATCTCGTTCTCGATTTATGAAGCAAAACCGAAATCTCTTTTGGGAAGGGACGCCTTGAAATTTATCAATTAAGTTCGAGTCCCGTTCAATACATTGTCATTGAAAGGCGAACAAAAAAAAAAAAAACAAAAAGCGCTCGACTATTGCACGCCAAAGAAAAAATGCGCCCAGATTTTGTTGTTTTGTTTCGTTGCGTAAATTGCAGTTGTTGAGCGACACAGTGTGCTGATAATGCAGTAAATCAGCGCGTGCAAGTAAAGCAATTATTCTTTTATGACAAACGACAAAACCAACCAAAACAGATATATATTTAAAGACATGCTTTGGTTAGTGTTTTTTTTTCTTCTTTCATTTCGTGTGGCATTTTTGTTTCCATTGGAATCAAGTGCTCGCTCGCGCGCAAGCCAAGCACTACAATTTTCGAAAATAAATATACACAAAACGCGCTATTATTAGAAAAGTTTCATTTTTGGTATTTTGCGTTTGGTGGCTATAAATTGCTTCTATTTTATCTGTTTGCAAGTTTTGTGGTTTCGTTACGTTTTTGTCATTTGGTCACATTTTGCACCGAAGTAAGGAGAAGAGAGAAGCAACCAAAAAAAAACGGCTCAAAACGTTTTGCTTCGCACACGCCTATTTAAAATCGCGGACAAATTGGATTTAAAACTGCTAACTGGCATTTAGGATATGTTACGATGATGAGATAATGTTTTGTTTTGTTGTTGTATTTTTTTTATTTCGGCGGTTGATGTGTGGTTGAAGATTTGACATCGGATGATAATCGTGGTCTGAATAGAGAACAAACGTCGGTCAGAAGATTATTGCATGCCGTCGTCGTTGATATCGGCCAAGTGTATTGTGCACACGGTGCCTATTGTATCGTGGACACTGAATCACCATGTATGCATTGTGATTATTATCGATTACGTTGTTGTTGTTTTGTATTTTTCATTTGATAAATGACGCAAGAATAAAGAATACGGTTTATTTTATTCTTTTCATTATGTTTTCAACAGGAAATAATGTGGCTTCATCGCGTATTATTCCTCTGTCTTTCTCCACAAGTTTGTTTTTTGTTTTTCGCCTCCTTCATCGTCGATTGCCTTTGTTTGTACAAATACAAAAGTGAACCCATTATCGATGTACTGTGTTGTGTATGTTTTGAACGAACGAACAGAAAAATAAAATCGAATTGATTTTGTGCGAATTTTCGTCCTTCATCGTGCGCTCAACTCGCACTGAAATTAGATGGAATTGTGACGAATGTTCGATGTCATTTTTTGTTTAAATGAAATAAATTCTAGTTCGTGAGTGGAAAAATTTCGACTCAATTAATTGATTAAGAAACTGTGGCGAAGTAGAATCAGCATGTTTTCAGAGCAGCCATTAATTAACACAAACCGAGCAAAATGATCATTGAAATACAAATACAAATACGAACACACACACACAAGTCATTCCAACAATGGGAGCCAAAGAGAGAACGAGTACACTTTTGTCGATCTATTTTTCTTTCATGCGCAAAACGAATAAATAAATAAGGATGACGATAAATGAAATTATCGAGAAGAGCAAAACAAAAGAAAAATACAACAACAACAGTAACAGCGATGCGAAACGACGATCGATGCTCAACAAGTACATCCATTGTATACTGTCAAAACATTGGCAATTTCAATCACACTGAATACGCACTTATTTCCCACTGTTCGCCTCTTTACTCCTTCCATCTCTCTCCCTCCGTGCCCGGCTGCACACCCTCTTCACTGCTGCCTTTTTTTATCAATACACACACAATCTGCTCATTCATTCCGGAGCGCATACTATTCTCCAACATCAACCAAGTCAACGAATTAGATGTTTCACACGTTTTCAAAGGAATCGATTGTATCAAATGGAAAACCTTGTAATGTTTGTACTTTGCATTTTATATCATAATGAAAGTGTTTGTTTGGCTTGACTTACTGTATCAAGAAGAATAAGTGGAATATATAGAATAGACACTTTGAATAGCAAAAATTTAGCTTGAAACTGGCCAATTGTGTGCGGTGCTGTACATCGAAACGAATTTGATGTCGAAACAAATTTGCACATAAATATTTCATTAAAAACATTTTTATTAAAATCTATTGCTCGTTGAGGTTTCCTGAATGAAAAAAAAAACTGAGCATTTACGTCATAGGCAATCGCCTTTGTTCGCATCGTAAATCACATGAGAGAAACATGAAAAATGTATAAACGCACACATTTTCCTCTGTGTGAATAAGAATATTGAATTTCAATAAAGCCGCACCATAAAAGGACACGAGATGTTATTTATATTCGTCGAGAAGAAACAAATACTTGAACACCATTTATCATACACATACTTTGTCCGAGAATATCGTAACAAACAATTTTCGCGCGAAAATACTTGTGCACATTTTCTTCGCACCGCTCTCGCTCCACGGAAGAATGTGAGTTAAGTCTCGAATTTAATCAGCACACTCCACGAATCATTTATAATACATTCAAGAATCTAAACTATTGCATGGTACAAAACTTTTCCATATCACAAAAATGCAATTAATTTTTTTCCCCTCTTGCCACTTCTGGCTCAGCCACTGTGCTGCTGTTGTTCTATCCATTGGAATGCATTTATTCTGACATGAAAAGCGAAAAACTTCATTCAACCCACCATTTTGGAGGAAATGCAAACAAACAGCTTCATTAACATAAAAACTGCTTAAATAATGCAACATTGTGTGTATGTTGCGTTGTTTGCGTACATATCGTTTTGTATCAAGTGAAAACACACCTCTGGTTGGTCGCAAATATAACAATAAAAAAAAAGACAACAGCACAAAAAAAAAGACCAGAGCCCTAATTATGTATGTGAACTGTGCTGGAGCGGATTCTTTTTTTGTTTCGGCTTTGATATATGTTTAAATAGACTTTCATTTTCGCCAAGTAAACAGCACCAAGCGCATAAAAGAGTTGCTCTTTTTGCATTCTATTCTCATTTCCTAATTTAGCCTTCGCTGCATAAAGATCTTTGCAGCGGTGGAACACGCAATCGTGATATGAGAGAACAAAATTAAATCGCATATTCAAATTATTTCGACTTCTTTTTCGGGCAACTTAATTCTGGCCACGATTTTCTGATGCATGAACTCTAATGCATGATCAATTTCTCTGAAATTTGCTCCAACAAATTTCCATCCATTTCAACAAAAAAAATGCTGAAAGTTAACCGAAGGGAGAAAAAACCAACGAACTTTGCACATTATGATGATGATGATGATGTGGTGGTAACAGTGTATAGAGTTTTACACTGTGATTAGCAAATGTTTCGGCGGTGCATCATCGGAACATTTTAATGGGTACGCCCAGCCAGCTATGAGAGAGGCCATGAAAGAAGAAAAATAACGCACGACCTTTTTCAAATTACTTATTTCAAAGAGCCGTTTACATATATTTATCAACGCCATAAATTGTTATTTACTCAATTTCAAAGAGATTATATATTCGCCATACACTGCAATTTCTGTGTGTGTTTGTGTACTGAACTCGTTGAATATTGAATAAAATGCAAAGATGCGCGCCAACAAGTTTGAGTGAAAGTTTTTCACCAAAAAAAAATGCATCCATACTCTGCAGAGCGAAGCAAAAGCGAACGAACGAAAAAAAATGGCGCCTATCTCTAATTTAATTGCAATATTGGATAATATTGTGACTTGACTGAAGTTGAGATTGAAAAGCGTAGGTTTTTCCATTGGCGTTCGCCAATTTTGCCAATCTCAACTGACTCATACTTTGAACAACAAAAACACATCGTCTAATATTTTTATTGCGTGCTTCAATGCGATCGTTCATCAAAATAAGCTGAATAAAAATCGAAACCGTTCCATGAATTTTCTATTCATTCAATTGAATCAGAGTGAATTCTTGCAACTAAATAAGGCTCTGTTCGGAGGATGTACACGGGTTTCTTCTGCCATTCTTATTTTCCATGCGATTTGTTTACGCAATCTAATTTATTTGGTGATTTTTGTTGTTGTTGTCTATTCATCGATTGAATCACAGCAAAAGCAAACCGAGAAAATATGTAATCAGCTTAGGTGAATTTGCTGCTCAGCATAAAGAACGCTTCGAACGTCAGCCAATCAAATTGAATATGCTAACTAAATCAATAAATGGATTTCTGTCGTTTTGTTTTGTATTGCCATTTTACATCGTTGTTGTTGTTGTTGCATATCCATTTCTGTGTCATATTTCATGTTTCGTTTTCTAATTATTTTTTTTCTTCGTTTTTATCTCTAGGTGCTGGAGTTTTTGGGCCGTGGCACATTCGGTCAAGTGGTAAAGTGCTGGAAACGTGGAACCAATGACATCGTTGCTATAAAAATCCTGAAAAATCATCCCTCATACGCTCGACAAGGCCAAATTGAAGTGTCCATCCTATCACGTCTCAGCCAAGAAAATGCCGACGAATTCAATTTTGTTCGGGCATTCGAATGCTTCCAGCACAAAAACCATACGTGCTTGGTATTCGAAATGCTTGAACAGAATTTATACGATTTTCTCAAACAGAATAAATTTTCACCACTGCCGCTGAAATTCATTCGACCAATTTTGCAGCAGGTAAGATGATGATGTCATCATATCCATATACACACACACACACATACCATCCCACCAATTAAATTAATAACAAACAATTTTGCACACTTTATTATAGTGTCGTAGCGTACACGATATAGAAATGAAACATACAATAAATGTGTATGGTAATTCACTGGCGCCCGTTTATCGTCAATTTACCAAAGTCGTCACATTTAATCGTTTTTATTTATATATACATATTTTTTTCGTTGTTATTTTCGTTCGCCAATTCCATTTTTCATGCAATTTGTTCCTTTCTCTGTCTCTCTCTCTCTTCTTTTTTCGCTTGTGCACATCGACAGGTTTTAACTGCTTTGTTAAAATTAAAGCAACTTGGACTAATCCATGCTGACTTAAAACCTGAAAACATCATGTTGGTCGATCCAGCCAGACAACCATACAGGTATGTATCGTCATTTACAATGATGTTCGCACATTTTCCATCAACTGAAGTGCAATATCCATTAAGTGCAAGACTCAATGACCCGCTAAATGCGGAGAGAATATCGAAAAAAATTCAAACGGACTACGGTCACACCCGAGACGTAACATTTAAATTCGGCATTTTTTTTTTCATCTATTTTCAGGGTAAAAGTTATCGACTTTGGAAGTGCATCGCATGTCAGCAAAACCGTATGCAATACATACTTGCAGTCGCGTTACTATCGTGCACCAGAAATCATTTTGGGCTTGCCGTTCTGCGAAGCAATTGATATGTGGTCGCTGGGGTGTGTAGTGGCTGAACTGTTTCTTGGCTGGCCCCTGTATCCTGGATCGTCTGAATACGATCAAATCAGGTGAGCATTTGACTAATTGAAAAATAGCACCTTTGTGGTTGTGTCTGTTGTTTGTTGCACCCACAACAGCATTTAAGGCGTGTTTTATTGTTGAGTTTGTGTCATTAACCGAATAATAATGATTTTCTTTCGCCTCCATCTCATCATAGATACATATCGCAAACGCAGGGCTTACCAACGGAGAATATGTTGAATAGCGCTAGTAAAACGGCAAAATTCTTCTATCGTGATGTCGATTCAACGTATCCATTTTGGCGTTTGAAAACACCCGAAGAGCATGAGGCTGAAACGAACACAAAGAGTAAAGAAGCTCGCAAATATATTTTCAATTGTTTGGATGACATTGGACAAGTGAATGTACCAACCGATTTGGAAGGGCAATTACTTGCCGAAAAGACGGATCGCCGTGAATTTATTGATCTGTTAAAACGTATGCTGACCATTGATCAAGAGCGTCGCATCACACCAGCCGAAGCATTGAACCATGCTTTCACCACATTAACGCATTTGGTTGATTACGCGCACTGCAATAATGTCAAGGCATCCGTACAAATGATGGAAGTGTGTCGACGCGCCGATTTCCATACGGTGCAGCCAACCTCAGCATTGGTATCGAACTTTGTACCAAACACCACGGAAAATATGACATTTACGATAAACAATCAATTGTCAAATCAAGTTCAACGATTGGTTCGGGATCGACCCACCGCTGCCTATGCGGACAATCTCTATCAAATTTATGGCACCCGAAATGTTGGCCGCCAGTACACGAATACTCGTAACGAATTCCCGCATCAATTGATGTCCAGCATATTGTGTCAACCAGGATACCAAACCATGCCAAGGTATGTAAACATTTCACTTTTGTTGAATTTGTAAAACGAAAAACAAATGCCAGAACCGTTTTTACATGTTTACACACCATTTCTTGTTTGTTCACTGTAGCCCGACAAAGCATGTGGTTGTTGGAGGTACAGCGCCGCTTCAGGTGCCGCCACAGCAGTATGTGCCGGTGCCCGTTTCCATGGTTGAGCCAACCTCAGCACAACGTATGCTGCTCACGAATCGCGTACAAACGAACACAGTGGCATGGCCGCAGGGTGGACGTCAAGTGCTAGTACCATCATGGTCACAACAAGCAGCACCACATTCATTGATCGTCGACTCAGCGCCATTTCTTAATATGGAAGAAATTTATCCGAAACATCATTTGAATTTGCCGCGGCATGAACTCAAGAAAGAATCGCCAGTACATCATTTACCGTTAGTATTCAATAGAATTGCATCGTTTTTTTTCTCTCCCATTTTCACGTAAGCTAACATGTCTTTTTTTTTCTCTCATGTCATCCATACAGTGTACCGCGTCACGATAAGAAAGAAACGAATCAGTTGTCACCGGTCAAGAAGAGAGTCAAAGAGAATTCCCCACCGCACCAGCAACGATACAATCGAGCTCATGTATCGCCACAGTATCACCAGAGTTCCAATCACATAAACTATTACACAAATAGCGGCAACAACAGCAACAATGCAAACAACATGAACAATCATGGCCACCAATTGCAGCACCATCAAAACACGTCGAGTAGTCAGCTAATCACGCAACCGCATACCTCGTACTCGAATACAAACAATAACTCGATGCCACTCAGTCATTCGAGCAGCCACAACAGTTTGAAGCAGCAGCAAGTCGTAAGTGTAAAAGTTGAAATTCCATTTCTTTTCGGTTGCTTCTTGAAATTTAAATTTCAAGAAAAGAAATGCCTCAATTCTATACCAACCAAATTAATCACAAAATATCGTATCTGTCTTGCAGCATCAACAACCACAACAGCAGCAACACCAACAACACCAACAACACCAACAGCACCATCAGCAGCAGCAGCAGCAGCACCAACAAACAATTACAATTCACGATACCCCATCTCCCACAGCAGTGATAACCATTTCCGATAGTGAAGATGAACTACCGGAAATCAAGCATGCGTCCAAGGCAACGACGGCAACGACGACGACATCGGCGACGACGGCGACGACAAACAATCAACGCAACCAAAATTCGTCATCGTCCTCATGCCAATCGAATAACATGAGATGGCAATGTCAACCGTCAACATACGACGGCACAAATGCCAACAACGCAGCACCGTCTCATGACACTCAAAATCATCACCAGAGCAACAATGTCAACAATTATAATTCGAACAACAATGGCAGTAACAACGGAAATCGTCAAAGGAAAAATGTGATTTCATGCGTGAGCGTCGGTGATAGTGACAATGAAGATCGCCACTGCACGCCCAAACAAAACTCGTCCGATTCCAAACACTTGGTACCAAAACGAAATTTCCTGCAGCGTCACTGCACGCTCGCAACTGGCACACAACCATGCAATGAAAAAGCGCACGGTAATCAACAACTCCAACAGATTCAACAAATTCAGCAGCAGCAGCAACCACAGCAGCAGCAGCAGCAGCAGCAGCAGCAGCAGCAGCAACAACAACAACAACAACAACAACCACAACAACATCAGGTGAGTTCAATGAGCATTTTTTTCATTGGTCTTGGAAATTATGCAATTCAAATGATTTGCAACTTGAGTTTGAGAAGAAGAACAACAAAAATGTGCTAAATGGTTAAATTTCATCCTTTTCAGTCATCGCGTTCTGCACAAACAACATCATCATCGACGAATCAGTTGCTGCCCAAACTGGAACCAACTGAGCTCCAGTACACTCCATTGAATGAGATGTCAAAATATGAAATCAATGAATATCCACAAATTGAAAAGCGTTCGACATGGGCGCCACCAAGCGCTCACAACAATCATAATCATAATCATAATCATAAACGTGAAGCAGTCCCATCGTATTCGCAACAAGTGGCCCCACCGCCAATAGGCTGCAAGTAAGTTGTTTGCAAATAATTTTTGGTTTGAAATGCTTTCTTGTTCTCTCGTTTAAAAATCAATTATTTATTAAAAGAATTTAAATTACAAGGGGTTAGTAGTGAAGAGCTAGTGCAGAATCGTTGCTTCTCAATTTGGTGGGCAGTTGAAATTTTGGACTTGGCCGAAGAAAAATTGGTATGGATGTGGTTTTGAACTTTTTGTTGATGTGACTGGATGCGGATTTTCTGTTGAAGAGCTGGTAGATACGACATTCTCACCTGAAAAAAGAAAACAAGTGTTTGGTTGTCAGTTGAATTCAAAGAGAAAAACAACATTTTTGTTATATAAATATACCGTTATAAATATCACGATTTTTGCAAACGACATCAATCAAAATGGTCAAGGTCCTTAATGCCGACGGCAACATGGCAAATTTTCTTCCTCGTTCTATGTTATCGTATCCGCTGCTCAAATTGACGGCCTTCGGCTTCATATCTGAAGTTATGTGGAAAAATAGAAACGTATTTTCTAGTAAATGATTGGAGGAAACAAATTGTGCAACACAGAAAAAAAATCAGATGAAAAAAAGTTATTTACCTTCAAAACATTCATCAAAAACGTCGCATCCGATTTTCGTAACGGTTTTGAGAACGCGTAAAATCAATTTTTCTGCATCTTCTGTCGATTCAAATTCTCTGTTTGCGTGTTCCAATTCGTCCAATTCGTCCGTAATAGTTTTTTCGGCCACTACGTTTAACACTAAAAGTGTGATAAAAAAAATAATTTCACGTTTCATTTCAATTTTTTTTCCGTTATCGTGGCGAACAAAAAAAAGTTGAGTGACTGAACAACTCGGTGACTGGTTGAATTATAACGAAAAAAATTCTGTCAACACATAACCTCAAATACTATCTCTTTGATAGAGATAAAAAGTTGTTTACATTAGATGCACTCATTGTCATCAATTGCATGCATAAAGAAGATTGCAACAGATTAAAACAATAGATGGCTCTATAAGCGCACATCATTTTAGCATCATAAAACTAGTTTATGAACACAAAGAGTGCGAGAATATTTTGACTGAATGTTAAATTACATATTACAAATATGTATATATATATTAAATGACTTTCATGAATCAAATTGTATACCTGTAATTGTGAACATGGCATTTTCATTGAATGGCATATCGAAAATTTGCAATTCCTTTTCTCGATTACGGTTCAATTCATACTTAATGCATCGTTTGAAGTATTTTTTCCAATTATCCGAATTTATAGTTTCGAATAATTTTACCATTGTATCTGAATATTTTTCGAATGTGATGCACTTGACAATAGGATGATCTTTCGAAAAGCATTTTGTTGTATTTATAGAGTGAACGAAATTGACTTCATTTGATAATGAAGTGTTTAAACTCTTCAAGCATATTTGAAACGAATGAGCGCAGTCACAGTGGCGAATGTGCCATACAGTTGTTTGATTCAGTTCAATGTGTTCATGTGCGTTACATTTATAAAGTGAACGACAACACAAGTCTATACGATCTATTTCATTCAAAACTGCATCACGCTTTGAATTGACAAATGTTGAATCGAGCGTTCTTTTCAATGTGTATTCTGTGGGTGACAAAATTGATTGGCAATATCTTGTATCTGAAAATGAGAAGAAAAAAATCGTATCTAAATTGGATTCGCTTCACTGAATCGTACACAAATTTATACCTTTTAGTCCATTAGAAACAAGATTATTCAAAGAATCTTCGTAATATTTTAACAAATTAAAACTTTCGGATTGAATATTTCCAAACAGAAACACAGAAAATAAAAAGAAAACAAAAATATTTTCCATATTTGAAGAAAGAATACGTGTTCGATGCTTGAGATTCGAACCTCAACTTAATGTAGAACCTTTAAACTATGCTTGAATGCTGAATATGTATTGAAATTCCCAAATCCATTTAAACACGATAATGACTAAAAACCTTTTTTTTATCGCTTTCCCATACAATGACCTCTAAACGTTGCCATATGAAGACGCTAAGCGTTACAGGGTTAAAATGCATTTTTACCTGTGCTGTTGCTCATATTCTTGAATCAAAAATATACAATGAAATTCAACAGAAACCATATCAGAAAGGAAAGATGGAGAAAACAGCAAGGAAAATACGAAAGAAAAAGAAACATGAGGGGCCACATCTTGTTCTCTTTCTGTGTATCACATCACGTTGTTGAGTTGTGTTGTTTTTATCTATTTCTTCTCCTTCGTTGTGCCGCGTTCACTGCGAATGTGTGAACAAAGCGCTCATCTGCCTTGTGCATGTGTATGTTAGTCAATATCTTGAAATTTTGTTTCATTGTTGCCGCTGTTGATGGTCACATAAACGACTATTCCACATTTCAATTTGTTCTTCTGTTTTTTTCTTTCGTTTAGCGCATATAAAACAGAACCAACGTATGATTTTTAACTTTTTGTTTCTTTTCGAAGTGATTTCTGTTTGGTCAGGGTGGTGTCAATTTGCTAGGATTTTTTTTTTATCGACATTCGCATTTTCTTCCATCAAAATTCATTAAGCGTGTTTAATTGCCTCAGTATGAAACAATAATATTTTCGTATTAGTTTATTTGCAAATAATTTTGGGTCTGAACTGTTTTCTTTCTCTTGTGTTATCATTTCTAATGCCGTTTCTAATTGATTTTCTTTTCTTTTGCCAGAGTGCCTATGTACCGTCAAACACATCAGTCGAATACCCCGCTCGGAGGTTCACCAGGAATCTTACAACAAGATTTAACATATGCGCAAGGTGACATGTATCGAAGACCGACGGTATTCGTTTCCCAGGCTCCGTATCAAAATTACAATCGTGTGGTGCCACCACCCGCTCACAATGGATCAAATCGCCAAGTAAATTTCTCATTTCAAATGACATAATTCTATGAATTTAGTTTTGATTCGTTTATTGTTCGTGCCATTAGAAAAACACACGTATTTACTCTTGATTAATTTGAAAATAGGTTTTGCCAGCGCATCATCCATTGCCAGCCCATATTCAATTTCCAGCCCAATACAGTCAGTTTGGCCCATTGAGTCCGGCTCAAGTGCCAAGCAAGCATGGACACTATCAACCGACCAATTTATGGTTTGCTGAATAAGGACGATTTTTGCCATCGCACACCAACATACAGCCACATTCAAACATTGAATCGATCAAAACACCGCAGAATGTGTGCTGAAAAAACGACGGAATCAACAACGACTCCATTGAAAAATAATTACAAGGAAATTACTAAGAGCTAATGGGTAAAAATAACAACTCTCGTTCGCGATAAAACTCGATATACATAAATACAACAGTTCCATGGAATCGAGAAAGCAACAAAACAAAACAACAACAAAAAGGATAGAGACGAATGTTATAAGAATCAATATCATTTTTATTTGTTTACTATTGGCATGAAAGAATTTTGAAATTCAAAATTACAAAGAACTTAAATGGAAAAAAAAATAATAACAACAACAAAAATTATATGAAGTTAGAAAGTTCGTACTTGCACACGAGACATGCATAGAATATTTTAGAGGATTTAAATATTACAAAATGGTGAAGAAAATGCATAAAATAAATTGTTATAGAGATTCGTTGTGCATTTGCAAGGAAGCAAAAGATCCGAATGCATGCCGTTAGTCAGTGGATGTACACCGCGATACAGATAAATTGTCATCATAATGATTTGGTTTGAATCACACACACACGTCTATCGAACATTTCGAATTGTTGCACAAATTCGCACGTGAAATCTGTCTAACCAAAATATTTTATTCGAATTGCTTGGTCGAATTCTATTCGAATCAAGTTAAATGAAAAATGATGCAAAAATATTTTGCAACAAATAAACGCTTAACATTAGAAACGAGCCATTTGGTTTGCGAAAAACAAAATGAACGTAACAAAAAATGATAGATAGATCATAGTAACATCCACCAAAACTATTCAATTCAATTTAATAAAAAATCTACATATTATATTCAAGAATGTATATATGTGGTGAAGGCTGTAAAATATCTAACTTAGTACGAAATGCATCGGAGCCCCACAGAGATTCTTTTTTTTTGTTTTTGTTTTGATGCAGATTAGTTGACGGTGTTTAACGTTGGTTTCACTGCAAATATATCGACGACATATTTTTCGCTACTAAAAATACGAACTTTGGAAATTGGTGCATACACACACCCACATGAATGCCTCTGCTTTGTGTGCAGTTGAATCGATGTAAACCAATTTGAAACCCGTTCCGCCAATATCCGCATCCAACGTGGTTTGAAATCAATGTGGGTGCAATTGATAGCGAATTCAAATCGAACTGAATGACATTGAAAAGGGGTTAGATATTTTTTTTCTTTAGGATTTCTTTTTTGTTCGCTTATAATTTTTTTTTGTTATTACTACAAATTTTTTATCAATACTGCAGCTAGTAGGCGTAGTGAACAGTGAAAAGGGTAACATATTAAAACTGCACACTATAACCGTAAATATTACCATTGATGTGTACTTCACGAAAGAATTCAATCTTTTTCCGCTTAGTTTTTTTTCCCTTCGTTTTTTCTAACACAATTTAATCAATATTCATTAGGATTATTACTTATACGTTAGATTCAATCTCGACTTTCTTTTCTTTCTTTTTTCGCTTCTTCTTCTTCTTCTTCTTCTCTCTGTGTGTTTTTTAACTGTTTGTTTTTTCTTCGGAACAATTTCATATTTAATCAATGATGATACACAAAAAAAGCTGAAATTTGAACAAAAAAAATTGCGATTTTTAGGGAAATAAATATCAAGATGTATATATTTATATATTCAATGTAGTATTTCTTCCAATTTAATGCGAAAAAACGCATTCAATTCAATACAAATTAGACACTGACAGATAAATTGCTTCTTTTCTTCAGTCATTGGCTTTATTATTCTGTGCGTTTCAATGTCATTCAAAATTTCTTCGTAATGATAAACATACAAAAATGGTGACAATGTGTCCAAGTCAAAGAAAATTAAACGAACTGTTGAAACTATTATATTGAATATATTGTTGAAGAAAAAAAAATTAATTACAATATTATTCGGATACTTTTGCATTGATTTTTAGTCATCGAATTTCAAAAGTATATTTGTGTGCTTGTTGTATAGAAACGGTGAAAAAAAAAAATTCACACACGCTGAAACAAAAAGAAAATTTAAGAAGTCTAACAAATGACACACCCTCAAACAAACAAATTTACATAGTTAGCTCTAAACAATGGTTTCTGGTGAGGAGAGAGACGAAATAAATTAGGTTTTTATAGATGAATGAACAAGGAATTAAAGGTGAAACAAAGTACTAGTACTGAACAGATTGGATGATGAATTCAAACAACTAAAAAGACCACACTGAATGAGAAAATAATGGAAGAAAACCAACTTAATCATTTAATCTGCCTATTAATTAAATAATAATTACAAAACATAATTTGTGTGATTCGATAGCGTTTAGACATTTCTTTAAACAAAAACAAAAACGATAAAAAAATCATATCTAACGATTTAACAAAACCAACAACCCACAATAACAGCAAATATGTAGTTAAACATATTTCAGTGTATTTTATGCGAATACACTATCAACATACACACGTTTGTAATTTTAGTTTTACTTCTTCACACACTTTGCAACTGCCCAAACCGATTCCCAAACGTTTTTGATTGAATAAAATGAAAACCAATTTACGAAATGATTCTCAAATCATTCGGTAAACACAAACAATCTCACGTGAGAACACACACACACAGCCGTAAAATAATCGTTAAATGAAAGAAAATTATTCGTATCTATGGGATAAAATGTGCGACACATATTATTCAACTACTAATATTCGAATAAGGTGTACTGTGAACTGCTAATTGACTACTATTTACTCGGAATGAAACAAAAAAAAAACACACACACACAACGAGCAACATAAAATGCAAAGTATTTGATAATTATTATCAATTGACTAATCCGTTTTCAAAAAGAAAAGAAAAAAAAACAAAAGAAAAGAGAAATTATTTCTAGTTCTTCTTAATGTCAATTTATTGAATCAATGTCTACCGTGCTCCATGTTCTTGGCTTAGACGTAGGGAATCCTTTTCTTCTTATTCACCTTCTCCTTCTATTCTTCTTTTTATTATCATTATATTATCGTTTGAATTTATTTTTATTATTATCCACACTTATAATGGGAAAAAATAAATTATAATGGAATAAGGAGAATCTATCTCTTGCTTTTATATCCCCGTAATTATAATCATACACACATGCACTCACTCACATTTACAAAGCACATTCTAAACTCAGCTGAACTAGTGAAACAGAAGTTTCGATTGATATTTTGACATCGTTTTTCGTTTTGAGTTATTGACTATTGCTTAAATTTGCCTTGAAATCAAATACAAATTATGCACGCATGAGATCCACCACACTCAACTGAAATAATAATTGAAAAGATGATACATAATCGACAAAATACTGATTACACGATGATTTTTTTTCCCACATTCTTTTTTCCGTTCACTCTTGTTTTCTTCTTTCAATGAATATATATTAGACCGGCCCAAAATTTATCGAGGTCGTGATTTTTGTG